TTTCAAGATGGCGGAATCTACGTTTTTCAGGGCTTTTCGTAAAATATCAATATCTCAGCAACGATACAACTTTTTGATTTGCGCCTTTTACCAAAATTCCTTAAAATGTTTGGTCTACAAAAGCCCCTTACTTTGGAAAAGTTTCGAGAACATCGATTGAAGGCCACTCCGCTGTAATAGGTCGTGGTTTACGTGCAATGGCTCTTAAGTCTCGAGTTACGCGCCTGAACAGATGTTACCAAAAGTGAAAAGTTTGTTTATGTGAACAAATGAATCCTTATTAAATCTTTTTTGTATAAACTTTTATTTAATCATCATCTCAACAAAGAACGAATGAGTGCAATAATGAATAAACTCATAGAAAAATGATTAACAGACTGAATAAGGTGACGAAAAAAAAACAGAGTGTAGAACAAAAAACATGAGTCAATTAGAAATAAACGTTGAAATTGTCCAATGTCCATTACCGATTAAACATCATGGACGTTTTTCATTGATTGATAGAGCTCTGTAATTAATGAATTTTTACTTTGTCGTAATTCTTCATATCGTGCCGTTTGTTGTTCGTTTAACAAGACAGTCGGTCCCATTTCTTCCATCATAAAATGTATTTGCATGATTTCCAATGCTTTCTTCTGTTTCTAAATACAAAAAAAGTAAAGAACATTCTAGAAAAGGAAGAAAGAAAACACGTCATACATCATTATACAATAGAGCCGTCTTTTGTGGGTTTGAAAAAGTTAAAAAACTGAATCTTGGTAGTCTCAGGAAGGACCGCACCCTCTCCGGACTAGGCATGCAACAATTCCAAACTAGAAATCGCTGATCGGCACCGAACGGTTTGTTACCGAACATGTTCGGTTACCAAACCGTTCGTAACTAAACATGTTCGGTCACCAAACGGTTTGTTACCGAACATGTTTGGTCACCGAACGGTTTGCTACTGAACATGTTCGCTGTCGATCAGCGAGCCCTAGCTTGGGATGGTTGCATGCCTGATCTGGACTAAACGCAAATTGAATGAAATTGAAGCTTTTGAAGGAACTAACCAGTGAGAAAATAGACTAAAGTACAATGTGAGCGAATGTGTCTTCTACTGAATCGCTACCAAAGGTTTAAAAAAAATAGTTTGTCAGAGCTAAGAACGTGAGAACGAAGAAACACATGAAAGAAATGTAAAACAGCAGAAATGGTGAAGATTACACTAAACGAAGGAGCAGCCTTGATTACGTCGTGGCCGTAGGCAGTCATGTAAAGAAAAGTTTGAATCAGAGCAGCAAATTTATGTTTACTTTATTCCAGGAAGTTGAAAGTACCTTTAGTTTCCATTATACCTGATTTACTCTCTAATTGCTTACTAACGTGGCCTCTGTATAGCAGATTGATTTACTTTGTTTACATGCAAAAATGGTTTTTTTCACTGTGCAGAAAAAAGTAGACAGTTGCAGCTCTAATTTGAATGTATCTTTATAAGGTTTATGGTACTTTGTCCTAATAGTTTGTCAGCAGAGCGCTCGTCGATGTCTCTGATGAGAAAAATATAAACTATCGTATTTACAATCTTCGTCCGAACACGTTCGATAGCGATCCGATAGAAGACACATTCGCTCACATTGGAAAAAATGAATCTAGATTGAATAACGCATGTCAATTAGCCGAGTCAAAATGACCGTAAATGATTATAGGATAATCCTCAGCAGTAATACTTCTGCCGGAATATCTCTCAATTTGAAGATATAATATAAATACACGTTGTAATTCAGAACCAGTTTCTTCTGGTTTCGCGGACTTTTCCATGTAACTCGTATATTCAACTTGAATATGACTGATCAATGATGCTGATCGTGCAGTCAAAGCTAAAGTTAGTTCTTCTTGCGAATCAAGTTCACATCTGACAGCAGATCATATACAGTTCTTTGGACTGGAGACAGTATTTGGAATGAAGGTTGTCCATTTCTTATATTAAATATCACGTCATTGAAATGGTCACTAGGCAACTGCACAGTTGTGACAGGCCAGTGACTCATTTGATGACCATAGTCTCTGCAATGATTAGTTGATGTGTTTCTCTAACATAATTATCCATGAAATGCTGTTGATAGCTGGTAATTTGAGCATTAACACTGAAACGAGGTTTTGTACCTCGTATGTTTTCCACCTGATCATGGAAAATATAACCTGGTGGCTTGCATAAATATCTTTCATTTTTGTCGCAGGAATGATTTCAACACAATGATGACTAATAACCTTAGACTCTTGATAACCTACGACATTAAAAATCTCATTGTAAATATATTTACGATAATGTTGACCAAATGGGATGAAAGTGAGCAGTAAGAAATTACCTAGCGCATAAATTAGTTGGACTGTTTTTTCTACTACTTTAATGGTTAACTGATCTGGGCCGACATTCGGACAATGAAAACAGGGAATTAACCCACGAACTTGGATTATCATTATGATCAGTAATATTTGGTATTTCCATAACTTCAACAAACCAATGTTTGATAAGGATTAGTAATCTTTCTAATTTGAATGTTAATTGCATAAGGTTCGAGACGCTGTCTTAATTTAACAAACATCGAGATGTCCCAAAAACTTTAAAAATGTAACACAAAAAAAGTGTATTTCGTCAGTATGCAGTTGAACGTATGTGTTGTGTCTAGAGCAAGTAGGCCAAAATGTAGCCTTAAAATCCTCTACCGATTAATTATAATGCAGCTTTTCTATCGTTATTTCTGTGTTTTCAGTAATAATTTTTGCAAAAGCCATATGACCGTTTTTTCAGCTTTTTCAACCTGCATTTTGGAGCTATTTATAAAATGAACATTGCTCAGATAAAACTGAACCAGTCAGGCTCATTTTTGCGTCATTTTGAGACAAATGTTTGGTCTGCTCAACTCACGTACGAAACACTTGATATAACTTTTCTGAATAATGGAGATGTTGAAACTAGCTGACCGCCAGTTATTAACAAGTCAATTTTATCACCTCAGACCGATGGGAAGGAAATGAGCCTTGTGCCATCTGAAAGAGGAGATCTAAATGTCCTAAGAAATGATGTGCTATCTTACCCAATCGCTTCAAAATGAAGTTCGAACTTAAAAATTAGTCTTGAAAAGTTTAAATTTTTTAAGTTTTCCGGATGTTTCGATGTTTGTTCAATTAAGACAGCGTCTCAAACCTTATGATCGTCTTCTATACATCGTTTTGTAGAGAAATAAATGGAGAATCTTTTGTCTTTAAATTGAGAGCATTTTATCTTTAAACTACTACAAATCGAAAGTTTTCAAAGAACTGATTCTCTAGCTCAGTTATTTTAATAAGATTTTTTGCGGAGTCGAAGCAGAATAAAAACGGTTGATCCTGCCTATCTTTACGGCAGAGTCGCACAAACGCAACCAGAAACCTTAGAACGGCATAGAATTGTACGATCCTTTACAAAATGTTCTAGATCTTTTAAGAACAAAAAATTCGTATTTTCCGCACAATTCGTGAAAAGCATTTAAAACGTCATAAAACTGAGAAAATGATTTCGTTTGTTTCAGGTAAATCAACCTTACTATCTCCTCTGTTAATTGCTGAAGGTTATGATAATGTAATTATTACACAACCCCGACGTTTACCATGTAATATGATTTCAGAACGTCTTAATTCAACAATTTATTCTGATTTAAGTGGTTGGGCAATAAATGGTGCTGAATCAAATGTTAAAGCTAAAATGGTTTTTCTTACCGATGGTTTACTTAGAGAACGTTTTATGAATGACACAAATTTTATAACAGAAGAAATAAAATTAAATAAATCTGTTGTTTTTTATTGATGAAGTACATGAACGTTCAGTCAATATCGATTTACGTTTGGCTTTATTAGCAAGTTTGCTTACTGAAAAAGCTCAATTAAAATCAAAAATGAAAATCATTATATCACCAGCCACCTTAGATGATTCTGTTTTCACTTTCTATCGTCATATACCATAATTAAACTTTGATGAATTTAAATTACCATCATTGGGTACACTCTATAATGTTACGAAACATCAATGACAAGATGCTAATATTCTTGACTTGGTTCAAGAACTCTATCGTAAACGTCAACGTGATGATCACATTTTATGATTTGTTAATTCAACATCAGGTGTACATCAAAATTGTGAAGGTTATAAGCCTTAGCTTATGTCAGTCATGGTGCTATTGTTGCTTATCCACTTGTACAATCACAATCACCAAAAGATCAACAAGATATGTTAAAAAATGGTAGTGTTTTCTTTTCAACACCGATTGTCGAAACATCTTTGACATTTCCATCATTTAAGATATGTTGTGGATACCGGAATGATAAATACATCTGTGTATGATTTGGAAACAAAAACAACTGTTGTAGAAGAAGTACGAGCAGCTGAATCGACACTTAAACAATGGCTAGGGCGATTACGTAGAACAAAACCTGGTGATTACTATTAGATTTCTTGGGCTGTTACATTTTTAGATTTCTTAGACTAATACACTGTTATATTTCACAGACTATTGGATTTCTAAGACAATTACACTTTCAGATCTTAGACTATTACACTGTTAGATTCCTTAGACTGTTACATTTCTGAGACTGTAATACTCTTAGATACCCTAGCCTTTTAGATTTCAGACAGCTACGTTATTGGAGTTCACAGACTACTAGATTTCTTGGACTCATATGCTTTCAGACATCTTAAACTTTTACAATGTTAGATTTCACGGACTATTAGATGTGTTACACTGTTAGATTTCTTGGACTATTATACTCTTAGATATCTTTGACTGTTAGATTTCTTACACTTCTACGGTGTTGGATCTCGGACTACTATATTTTTAGATTCCGTGGACTGTTACAGTTTCAGATATCTTAGACTTTTACTCTGTTAGATTTCATAGACTGTCAGATTTCTTACATCAATTTCACTGTTAAATTTCTTACTCTATTGGATTTCATAAACAATTACACGTTTTGATTTCTCAGACGATTACAATGTTAGTTATCTCAGAGTCACTTTTAGATATCTTAGAGTTTCAGATTTATTACACTTTTAGATTTCACAAATTATCAGACTTCTTTGGTTTTCACACTTAGAGTCTGACATTTTTTGGTATCTTAGACTAACAAAAATCTAGAGTTCTTAGAACTTTAAACTTATATGTTAGACGTTTACATTTTCTTGCCTTTTACAAACGGTCTGCCTCTAAATAATCCCTGCTGTCTCTTTGCAGATGCTTATCAATGTATGTTAAACGCGCAGTAAACTGCGAGTTACATCACTGTTTACGGCTGTAAGCCAAAAAGGACACGGATGGTTACAACCGTTTACGGCTGCCGCAAACATAGATCTGGGTATACAAGCATAAGCGGCGAAACGATTCTAATGTAGAGGAGGCTCAAAAACATTTTACAAACAACGATGGAAAGAAATCACATATCTGAGCCACCCCATGCCTTCCTCTTCCTTCTAGTCGAAGGAATCCAAAAATGTGTTAATCTAACAAGACTAATCGTGCAATAGTCTGAGAAATCTAATAGTCTAGAGTATCTAACAGTGCAGTAGGCAAATAGATACAGCGACGTTACCGCGAATTCTGGATAGTACACATTTAAGTATTTCTGGCAGTGTGTGGTGAGCGATGGACAGTGTGAGAGGATATGTCGACATCTCCGCGAACCCACCTTACTGCGACAGTAGATCTGCCACGACTTTTCCACAAATTTTTGAAAATAGATTTTAAAAATACTAAACATTAGAAAAGAAACAAAATAACTAGTATTACTGGTGAATCTACTCTTTATTAAAATTTTCTTCCAGCTTTATCTTCAACTAGTTAGATATCAGATAACCACTACAAAACCGCAACAGAATTCATACGACATCCAAAATATATATTCTATGTGAAACTACTTTTCGAACTCACTCTCACACTGCCCACGCTCCTACCGTCCAGCAGGCACTGCCAGAAATACCCAAGATTACGATACCCAAGAAATACAATTTTTATAAAATTTGCTACTTTACGCTAGAAAAAAACATATTTTTTTTATTTTCAAAACTGTTTTCTCTTCCATTCAGTACTTGGTAAACTTTTAAAACAATCAGTCTTGTAGAATGAAGACTTGTCTACAAAATGAGATGTACTCTCCATCATGTTTTCTGATGCAGTTATGATCAGTTTACTGGAAGCCTTTGAAGAAGTCACATTTGTGTTAGAACGTCCAAAATGATCATAACTGCATTAGAAAACATGATGGAGAGCTGAGAGACATCTCATTTTGTAGACAAGTCTTTACTCTACAAGACTGGTTGTTTCAAAAGTTTATCAAGTACTGAATGGAAGAGAAAACAGTTTTGAAAATAAAACAAATATGTTTTTTTCTAGTGTAAAGTAGCACATTTTATAAAATTCGTATCTTCTCAACGGAAGGTCGTGGAGAGCTGGGAGTGGTCTTCTTTTGTAAAGGACATTTTACTCTATAATGCGCAATATTTAACTCAAAAATAAAGAAAGTTTTTAAACAAAAGTCTAAAAAAAAGAGTGGTAATTTTTAATTTTCTCTGACGGTGCACACTAGAATTCGACAATATATACACCGTTGGACAGAGCATGTCTTCCTCCACAAGCTTATACATATCCCGTTCTGGGGTCAAAAATCACCCTGAAACTTATAGCTGCCTTTACATTTGTAGATGAAACTGTAGTCTTCAAAGTTAAACATCGTCCTGTTTAACATTTTTTTATTTCTTTCAGTAGATATGATAAAAAAAGAAGTCTTCCAAATTAACAGAATCTTCAGGAGTCGAATAAAAGTTTCTGAAACTGATAACTGCCAACCCAATATCATCTACAAAACTAGATATCATCTAGTGGTGTGTCATTGGTTTTTTTATACTGAATGAGCTAAATGTCTGTTTTATTTATTTTTGCTCAAATTAATCATTCTCATCATGTTGCTTACTTGAAATTATTTTGCTTCCTATCAATCGATTAATATTTTGTCTAATTAAAAAGTTCTCCATGTTGTCTCACATATTTTGTTTATCTCAAGTTTATTATTATTCTCTATAGAAAAAACAGCGCTCAATTCATTTATAAACAAATATATAAATTAAAATATTTAAAATATCATCAAGCAGGAAAGACATTTAGGAGAACAGAAAAGACTAAAACATATATCTATTATGTACAGTCATAAATTTGGCTTTCCTTTTTAGTTTCTGATAGAGACATATTCATAAAAACAAATTTCAATGTTCTCTTGTCCCTGTGTATAGACTATTAGAAATTTTGCGCATGGCATCGTAGAGCTCCTTAAATCATCTCCTAGTATCGAAAGGCTCACATAGCATCGCACAGTATTGTATATTATCTCAAGCATCGGAAAGCATTTCGAAGGCTCTGGAAAGCTCCCGGAGCCGCTTTTTCCACCTTGACTTTTGATAAACCTTATCCATTTTACGTCCGACGTTTTCGGCCACCCCGTCTCATTCGAAAGACCCTTTAAAACTGCTCTGGACGGATGGTATTTGTTAATCTTGTACAAGTAATGTAATCGTTGTTAAGATATGTATATTTAATTCTATACTTATCCATCTTGGTTTCGAAATAAAATATGTATCTTACGACCTGTTTTTGATTTTCTTTTTTGTTCTTGTTTTTAATATTTCATTATCTTTTCAAACGTAGACAAATCCAACCATTATGTCACCAAATTTAATTAACCAAAAGATTATCATTTCTTTCGTTATTATCATCAATGTTTTGTTCCATCGCGCCCCAATAGCTTTTGTATTAATGTGCTAGAATATATGGAATATTTTGCATTTAAAGCAATTCATTCTCCGTAGGAAGTACTATTATTGCAGTGAACTCCGTCGTTTGCTTGCATTTTAGATTTCAATACTTGTCAAGAAGTCCTATCTCCCGTTGAATTGTCGCAGCTTCAACGAACCATTTAGATGTTAATAATACTGTTAATATTAAAAAAGGTGATGCTTTTTAATCTGTCGAATTTATCATTTGCATTTTTGTGCGACGATTATTTCTTACTTCTTGAACTTTCAATATTGTCTTATTATTACTTCAGTCGTCTTTTGACATTATTGAATAATAAGTATGCTTTTACATTCGATTTGGTAACAATATCTTTTCTATTATGGAATTATTTGGAATATATTCAGCCATGACACATAATCACTTTCGGCTGCAACAACTTTATTTAATTTTATTTTCATCATTAAAAGCATTAATATTGTATGACATGTTATCCGATTGGATAGATTGGACAACCATTTGGTTGGTATCGTTATACGATATTTATGCTGTTTTATATCCTCATTCTATAGAAAATATTTATCTTCGGGTTGAAAGAAAAACGCGATACACATTCTTCTATTATACTAACGATAAAGAAGATGAAAACGATCCATGGCAGTATTCAAGTGGTTTCCTTGGCTTTGATGATTTGGTCTTTTACAGTCTATTTATGTTAAAAGTGACAGATTCTCATAATTTGAATATTGTTATTGCCTGTTATTTATCCACCATCATTGGGGCTTGTATAATACCGACATTTATCGTTCAAAATTTCAAGATTATTGATATTTCAGGTTTACCGATACCAATTTTAATCCTTAAGAGACAGTCCATACTGCCGTTGATAAACTCGACTATCGGGTGAAATAATCTCTAACCATGTTCATTTGATTCTCCGTGGAACATAATCCATGCGAATTTTTAAACTTAGAAACATTTTCTGACCAATTTATGAAATTTTTAGGAGAAGCCTTGCAAAAGATGCTCAAAAACATCGCTTGAAATCACATGCTTTTGTATTTTAATTTTTTTCTGTCGTTCAAGGTTCTATAATTTTGAGTTATATACCAGTCGAAAAAGCTGAAAAAAACTGAACTCCCTAGACAAATATTTTTCGTTACTTCTGGTACGAATCTTACCCGAGCCTTATCGGATTCTTACATAAAAAGTCCGCACGAAAATGGCAAGAATTTCATACGACTCCGATAAGAATCAGGTAAGACTTAAATAAGAATGAGCTATGACTTTGATAACCGCGCTCCTATCACTTTCTTATGAAATTCTTACTAAAATTTTAATCACCGTTTTATTTTGCACAACCGCATACTATATGAGCACCACTGATTTCTTGGAAATTTTTTCAAAGTTACTTTGAGGTACGTAAGACTGGTCGGTTTGCAAATGCCTCGCGACCTCTTACATACTCACTAATGAACTATACAGATAACTAAAGAAGGAAAAAAAATTGGTAGTTTTTGTCAGTTCTTCCCCTTTTCTTGCCGAATTCTTACAGGATTCTTAACTGATTCCTGTCTGCTTTTTATCAAATTCTTGTTGCTTTCGTGCGGACTTCTTATGTAAGAATTCAATAAGAACCTAATAAGATTCTTACACGAGTCGTAGCGGATTCTTATAAATTTCTTATCAGATTCCTGTCAGATTCTTTTCTAAGAATCAATTACTAGGGCTGAACCAGCTATTTTTCAAGTGTTAGACTTGAAATCTAGTATTGGAAAAAATTCAGTATATTGGAATTTCGAAAGCCAGAAAACTCATTTTCTTTCGTTAAAGGTGCTTTGACAGAGCCAAACCAAGTCGTCCCAACTATTCAACAAGCTTAGTTTTTAGAGCAGGTAATTCTCTACATAATGAACTATTTGACATTAAAAGGAAAGTTCAACGAGGTGTCCAAAAATCAGCCACAATCAATGCCACCAAACAGAGGTTTTAGCAGCAACTCGATCTCGGTCTCAAAGGGACAGGCTCCAGTCAACATTTTTTTCGTATTTATATGCCATCGGAAAGAGCATTCAAACAAACTACTAAACCGGCAATATTTCTTCCTGGAAGCGTTTAGTGTTATGTGTCCTTATTTTTGACAGACCACCCGAAACCTTGTGGATTTTACTATTTGATTGATTTTTATGCTTTTAACTATGCACTTTTAGCTCCTAATATTCTTAAACTGATGGGGAATCTGGAAAAGGATCTGAAAAGGGTGTGACGTCATCTTCAAATCTTTTTTGTATATTCGAATCTATGTCATTTGGAGCATTAGTAAGTTCTTCTTGTTCTTTTAGCATAATGTCAAGTTTCGAACAAAAACTTCTTCCATTAGCATTTTCTTTTATTTCAATAAAATCTTTCATAATTTCTGTAATAATATTACCTGGGTCTTCTCGTTCATTCATTTCTTTCATAGAATCAATCATAATCATATTAGTTTCAGAACCAATCATTGTCCGAATATCGATGGGTTGTTTAAGCCAATCATTAACACTTTTAAATTGTTTCTTTAGTGAATTTGCTGCATCAAAACTTTTATTTTTAAATCTTGAATGAGTTCAGCAAATTTAGCATTAACTGTCGATTTTTCAAAAGGTTCTTTCTGTTTATTATAAACAGAATCTTTAAATTGTGTTAACATTAAAGTAAAAGCTTTCTTCTTCGAACTCACGTACTTCACTTAATTCAAGATGACTTATTTGATGTACTTCTTTTAATTCTTTTTTTACATTTTCAATCATTTCCTTTTGTTTATCAATATTTAAATAGATCATATTTCTTAATATGAACATAATAATTGGACAAGCTCTAAACATTGTGAATAGATTAACAATAAAAAGACTAATAGTTAAAATCTTTTTAATCACCACACTTTTTCTCTAAATGACCGTTTTTCATCTTCAAATCTTTTTTGTATATTTGAATTTATGTCATCTATGGCTAGTACTGGAATATCAACTCTTTTAAACATGTTATTTAGTAGTCATTTTCGAATGGATGCTGGTAGTTTTACAAAAGGTTTATATGCAGCACTATTTAAAACAAAACATCCAAAAGCGAATGCATTACTTGTACTTGATACAGAAGGACTTTTATCTATTGAAAAACCAAATGAAGAATATCATAAAAAATTAACCTTCTTTGCAATGGTTCGCAAATAGGCGTGTTACACTCGGAAACTATCCCTTGAACTATTAGATCAATCCAATGAAACTCAGTGTTTAGAGGCTTCATGAGGTTCTCTTCCGTTTCGTCTCTAGAAAGTTTTGTTCAAAACCCTCGGAAATAGGAGATCCGGAAAACCGTGGTATCTGAGCTATAGTAGTTGAATTAAAAGTATTTTAAAAACCACCGTTAAGATATGGAACATTTTAAATGATATATTCGGATTCAGTGTTGGAAGGCGAACATTTTGAGAAAAAAAACTAAGGCTTCAACTCAAAATTTTAATTTTTCAATTTAATTTAAAATTTAAAAAAGTCAACTTTTTTTAAATAGATCAGCTCAGCTCAGAGATGGAGACTCAGTTCAAACGTGGTTGGATAGAGAATTAAAAATTGAACATACGTAGGAGTTTGACAATGTCTTCGTATTATGTGATCTTGGTTGCCATGGATTTTTTCTAAATTAGAGAGGAAAAGTCAGAATTCAGCTCGTACTTTTCAATTTTCTCTTACAGAACTCAACTTCTATGTAATAAAAATATCCTATTCGGAATCGGGATCAAAGATCGAATCGACGGATATGTATCCTATCCGAGTACTTTAAATTTTTTCAAATTTGCACGTTGAAAAATCATCGAGGTTTTCACCAAAACACGAAAATCAAGTAAAAATTGAGAAATACATACCAGTCGATTCGATCTGTGATTCTGATTCCGAATATGATATTTTTATTACATAGAAGTTGAGTTCTGTTGCAGAAAATTGAGAAATACGAACTGAATTCTGACTTTTCCCCTCTAATTTAGAAAAAATCCATGCAACCAAGATCACATAATACGAAGACATTTTAATGTTAAAGTTAATGCTAAATTTGCTGAACTCATTCAAGATTTAAAAATAAAAGTTTTGATGCAGCAAATTCACTAAAGAAACAATTTAAAAGTGTTAATGATTGGCTTAAACAACCCATCGA